AAGAAAACTACCTTTATACCCTCAACTCGTCCTTCCAAAGAGAGTATTTGGAGAGTTTGCCTGGAGGCACTGTCCAGACTTCGCGTCTTGACGCGCTACAGCTGCAACACAATCCAGCCCTTCCAATCCGTGGATGGAGTCCATAACTGTGCTCCGGTCTTATGGACGCGAACGCAGCCGCAGCAGCGAAGATCGACGCTGGCCGCCTCTATTTCGAGAGAATATAGGACAAGAGGAGGACAAGCGTGGCCTTCACTCGACCTGGTTACCCTCAAGCTCCCAGCGTCCAGTGCCGATCAATATCAAAGTGCGTGATCGGGCGACGCAAACCCTCCCATTTCTTCATAGTCTCTCAAAACACAAACGACTGGCGCCGACCGATTTCCGTCTGCGGCTGCATTCGTGTCTAAGGTGTTGGAGTGTTGTTCAGATCGTAGCGCGTCATCGCGCATTACGGCGTGTTGCAGCGCGTCGTCGCTCGTCGACGCACGTCATTGCCAAGTCTGAATGCTGCCGAAGTCGGTGAGGTCACAGTTGAGGGAAGTGGTCGTGAGCTAGTCTCGTTCTCTGCCCCCCCCCCCCAATGACATCGGTGCCTTTTTGAGTACAATATGTTGCGCCAACCACGCTGTCACGGTCATACATAAAGTTACTGCACAAACCGTCTAGGTTCCTTTCGCAAGTACTGGCCACATATTCTTCTTCTGGTAATGGCTTGCTTAGCTTTCTGTGGCTACGTGGGATTTCTAGTACTGCGAAAGAGAGCTGAAGCACAGAAAGCTGGAAGGTAACTTTTATCTTTTTGGAAAAAGGATTTCGTAGGAGATGAACTGCTCACTTTCCTGCGGGAGTGACCACTATCGCAGTGCTTCATTGCTACTGCCGATTTTCGTGTACGGAAAATGCCCACACCCTCTAGAGCTACACTGTGCGCTCACCTGAGAAAGGGGTCCTCGCCATGCGCAAGAGCTTGCAGCTGTAGAAGTGTGCCCTTCATAACACCCGAAATTGCGCCGAAATGAAGCTGGAGGGTTGTGGTAGATGGATGCCCTTTCAGACTCCATCCGCTATCCACAACACTGCCGCTGTCATCATGCCAGTTATCCGGGTAAGATGGAAAGGCACTTTCAAAGAAGAGGAACGGCAGTGCCTCGTCAGTATCTATAGTGAGGCAACCCTGTTGTCATCCTCGCCGCGGCTGAGATGTTCGCTCGTAGGCTGAACACCGTCGAATGGCGCAATAGCAGGTATTTCAGCAGGGCCTCTACGCCAAACGATAAGTCATCTACCTTCAGAAGGAGTAACGTGAACCCCAGCCCCTTGAACCTCCACACCTTTCAGAATTTCACGCGAGTGTGTTACATGGTTGTTCATTACGACCCACAAAGCGCATCTCTCCAGGTCTTTGAGTTTGATGCGTAATCCAAAATGCATCTTTGAGTCACACTGAGCTCACCGTTCGCTGGTTACCACGTCAGGCATCGCCTTAGGCTCCCAACTCGATTGTACACTAGACATGATACTCACCACTTTTGACAAATCTGACCAGAATAATTTCTTCAACGACAGTTAGTTGACTCAATCCGATTACGAAGTCAATGACTTACCTTCAGAAAATCTAGAAAAAGTGAAGAAGGGGAATCTTCAAGAAGGAGCAAAAGTAGAGGAAGAGAGTCTTCAAGAAGAAAAAGGGGACGAAAAGAAAGTAAAAGAAGAGAAAGAAGGAAAAGACGTAGGAGAGAAAAGACTTCCTCTGCATCTCACAGTTCTTCGTCCAGCTCTGAACCAGCATGGGAAAAGGATGAACTCATTGATCACGTAGATATGACTCACGTGAAGGTCGAAGCCATGATTCCGTCGAGAACAAAGCGAGACATCATTGAGTGAGTTACTTTCCATTCTACGACGAAGGAGTCTAAGAAGTCTTTACAGCCATTTCCTACTTACCCTAGTCATAGAACGGATGTGGGATGTGTACACGGAACCATTTGTGAGCGTGAGCTACCCAGACTTCCCTACAAGTCTTTAATATCTCAGAGGCTTAGGCAGATGCGAAGGTCCTGAGGAGACAACATCAGCTCATGGACGAGCAGAAGGGGGTTGACATCCATCAGCAGGACCGCCCCCACCCTGGAAATGTGCGTCGGCTGGCCTCAGCCCTTCAATCCTATATCATCTCCGTCAAAGCAACGTGCCCGGGATCCTAGAACGGCTGGCGATAAACTGTTATAAACTCGTAAAAAATCAGTCATTGCTGCTATCCCGGCTATTCATAATTTTCTTTGTCTGTGGTTTGCTCCCTTGGTGGTCTGTCCGGGAATTCGCTTCTCTCAACTTGGGACGGTCGCGATAAGGTTGGAATAGGTAGAGCATGGAATATTTTGTGCAAGGAAAGATGAAAATGAACTTATGTACGTACTGAAACTGTTCATGATTCAAGCTGTTTGGCGAATGGCCCACCCATATTGGAGGCAGTGAAGCACTTTGATCATTCGCCAAAAATTTCCAAGGTTATCACGTACTCCGCATCAGAGCATATAACTCTGTTAGAATCACCTCCATCAAGCGGTAGGTTTTGCTTTTATCTTGCACTGATAAAGAATAATAATGAGTGCGCCTCTGAGTAGCACAACAGCCACACTCCAAATCCTAGGCACGGTACAGCATCGATTGGTGTGAAACCACTGGGGGGAGGGGGGGGGTACGCACCGCTGGTGTGGGGGGGGGGTGCGGTCATGACTGTAACGAACCGAGGAAACGGAAGTCGTATTCCGCCTAAGAAAAACACTTTGGCAGGCGTTGGGGAAAAATACCTCCCTGTTGTGGAATTTCCGCGTGTTTTTTCCATTTCAACCAATTTTCTACACCCCCCCCCCCCCCTCCGCTCGACGCAAACTTTTTTTTGTGGGGGAGGGGGAGTTGAAGCAGCAACTTTTTGGGTTTCGCAGAAAACTGTTAGGAATGGGAACATGTAAGAAAGTGGCGCGGCAGGTAGATGTTGGGAAGGGAGGGGGTCCTATTACACTGAGACCCTCTTCCAGGGGGGGGGGTTGTACTGACATCACAAATCACGATGCTGTATCCTGAATCCCTGAGATGCGGCAGACGTGGCCACGTGTCATTTGAATATAGCGGTGACCGCGCGTTTGGAGGGATATCTTCATTGTGGGAATTGTGATCACAACTTTACCCAACCAAATTCAATATGAACCATAAACATGAACCATTTAGCACACAGTACAGAGCGGGGTAAGCGAGCTGGCAATACCGTACTTCCGGAGTAAACACACAGAATTATAAACTTTCTCGCAAGGGCAGCGCTCAGACCCTGTGATGACGCGCATAGACGCGCTGCGTCCCGCTGGCGAGGCGCCACCATTTCAGTGGCGCTCCAACAACATGGATGACAGAGTGTTGGAGTGCTGTTGGGCGAGACAAGACTACGGGACACCCATCACTTGATCACTTCTTCGTCTGGGATTTTTGAGGGTAAGGTACATGGGAGAAAGAAACAACTTCTCATTGAGAAGGCAGAACGAGCAGGAGAATGGTCCTCGAGCTCACACGATATCAGTGATCCCTTCTCCTCCCAGGCTCATTCGCAGAAGAACGCAAGCAGCAAGAGTCCATGCTGCATTGGTCGCCAGAGGAGAGCATTTGGTCGCCCACAGCGTGTCCACTCCCAAGGGATATCGTCCATTCTTGGAGATTTTGTACAATTGCTATATACATAGAAGCGATCGGGGCCCAATGTGAATGTCGCAGAGGCTAATTGCAACGCATTTTTCGTCGTCCTATCAGCGTCGGATGTACTAAAATGCACCCTATTTCCAGAAATTAATCCTGAAATTCATTCTGATAATATGCGAAAAGATCACCGACATTTTTGGAGGGAGGAACTGTTTTATAGGCTCTTCAAAAACGTACGGATCTGGTAGACAGTGTGCTGCGGATCTGTTGACCAAAATGATTGAAAACGGTCCAGGAGAATTCGATTTCAATAGGGCACAGCTAAAGGAAGTCCTCCGCATGGGTGCTGGTATATTCCTTGAAGAATGTTCACTGTTAGAGGTAGGTGGAGCCGAGGCAGGATCCTCCCTAACACACAGGATGCAGCCTCAATTTCATCCTTTATATGGGTTTGACATAATTTTGACTTTAGATTTCTTTACCTTGCATGGTGTACGGAGACACGCACGGTCAATATTCTGATCTTCTACGGTGGTTCAATCTGAACGGATGGCCCCACGAAACCCGGTATAATCCCTTCTTTGATTGGTTACTCTAAGAATACCAGCTCTTGATGAGGGATTGCTACAGGTGCGTCTTCCTTGGAGATTTCGTTGACCGAGGCTCACATGGCGTTGAACTCTTCGCTCTACTCACGTGTCTTAAGGTAGAGCTTTCACAGTCGATGTAGTTTGTCTTCGAGCCTCGACAAGATTGAAATACTTTATTAGGCCAACGTTTCGGCGTCTTCGCCTTCGTCAGAGCCTGAAATGGACAAAAAACACATGAGACCTGCCCGCTCAAACGCCTCAACAA